CWARAGTATAAGAAAAAGCGCAGCAAGAACAACAAATAWGAATAAATRGTTACAACATCAAATTGCAAGTAAAAGCGGTTGCCAGCGAAGTTGCAGCACCGCGCGTTGTTGTTGCAGGCTGAAGAGGTCGAGTAGACGCCGGAGGAACGGCAGCAAATGATCTGTCTGCCGCCTCGCCAGCCCACTCATGCCGTAACGGTTCTCTGCTTGCGATTRTGTGTGTGTGAGTAAGTGAAAATAGCCGACTGCAAGCGTGCGTGTGTGTGCGTGTGGAATTGATCTTGAGTCTTGAAGTTGTTGCCTTGTCTATTTTGCTATTTGTTTTCCCCGTTCTGTTTTTTTTGTGCTGTTGTTGCTGCTTTGTACTTGCAATGCGCGTTGTTTTTGCTGCTTTTCTCTTGATTTTTTTTGTGTTTTTTTTTGTTTTTTTGCTTTGCGAAATAGAAATTGAAAATAGCAGTCGCCGCACAAGTCAAGAACAGCAATAGCGAATAGCAACAACAACGACAACAAAATGAACAAMAACAGCTGCTGAAGAAAAACAGGAAAAGTCCCAATTGAGAGTTGYTTGACTCTTTGCTGGTTTTTCTTTTAGCTGCAGAAGCGGTGGCAGAGTGTAGCGAAGAGGCAGGGGCGCCTCTCTAGAAGGGACTTGCTCTTACCTCATTCACACTGCCGCTGACCGCCTCCGCAGCGCTGCCTAGAATTTACTTTACAGCCGGTTGAGTATCGTACAACTAATAGATTAGATAGATAGAGGAGAGCAACAACACCAACAACAGCAGCTATGATAGATGTGTATAAGAGACAGCTCTGCCGGTTGAGTATCGTACAACTAATAGATTAGATAGATAGAGGAGAGCAACAACACCAACAACAGCAGCTATGACAGCACAAATCACAACAACAACCAGGAACTGCTGTCTTAGACAGCCGGAGTGGAGTAGCGCCGTGTCCATAAGCAAAGTTGTTTGCAGAGATCCGACGACAACAACAACAGCAAYGACTGCGAGACGTTGGCGCGGCATTGCCAGCGCTGAGTGGCCGCCAGAACCACAGCGACGGCGGCAGCAGCAGCAGCGACGCCAACAACAATAACTAAAGCAAAYAACATAGTGACAGTAGTGTAGTGGCAGCAACAACAAAGGCGTCAAGGCAATAACAAAAACAGCAACAACAAGAACGTACAAATCGCTGCTGCAACGGCGTTGCATGGCATTTCAGTGCGTATGTATGTATGTACATACGATCGGTGCTCACTGTGGATGTGTATGTGTGTGTGTGTGTGTGTTTGCATGAGTGATTTGTTGTTGTTGCTGTTGCTGCCGTTTCTGGTGTGGTTAGTTCTTCGCCAGTTCGCGCCCATTCGCTTGCGCCAACTCGGGAGTTCGGGAGCAAGCAGGGAATCGAATTCTTGTTCTTATTCTTCTATACCCGAAGGTTCTACGGTTTGGTTTGGATTTCGTTTGCGCATTTGGAGCGCTTCGACGCTAACGCTTAGCTCGCTAGCACGCTAATTCTCGCAGGCTTTTGTCCACCAGTATATCTATCGTCATTTACGCGCTTACGGTTCGCTTCCGTATATTCGTTCGTCGGCCGTTTTGTACGAACGCTGTGCGTGGCTGGACYTTTTCTTCCTCCACCACACATTTTAATGGCGGCGCGCGCGCTCATGGAAGCGCTTAACTTCTAAATCTAAACTAAACTTTAATTCGAGTATAGAGTTTTCRTSACGCCGGCCAAGCAAAGTGCGCACAAACATAAATAAACCGAACTGAACTGCGTGACACGACCTGTGTCTTTGGCTGAGATGTTTGCCAGTTGCAACCGTGTGTTTTGAGTTTCGCAATCGAAACAGGCGTACGCGTCGCGTTGTGCGTGTGGACATATAATTTGCACTGTTTTAACAGTTTTTAATCGATTTTGTGAAATATTTTTATTGAAGATTTGAACATTCTTCTGGAAGTGTTAAAGCTCAAGTGTGAAAGGAAATGAAAGCTTGCAGTGAAGGAAGTGCTAATTTTGTGAATTTGTTTTCTAGTGAAGATATAACTAMACACTCTGATCTTTTGTTTTGTTATTTTCAAAGCTTCGAGTAAAAATGGATACACAARGATAACCCGAAAAGGAATATTCAAAAATTTTTACGCTTTCATATCATTCAGGAAGTGTATACAAGTTTCTATGCTACCCATTTAAGACCCCGAAGCCCTTAATCCATTTGACAAATACCATAATTCTAGATGTAGAGAACTTAACGCGGTATTGGAGTTCGTTTTAATAATCAACACTTGTCTATGAAATACTCCTATTATAAGCATGTGTACTATGTACATATGTAGATATAGTTTCAACTAATAATCTCTTTTGAATTGCTGATAACAAATCTTTATTGTTTGAGCGATCCAGTCGTGCTAACTTAAACGATATCGGATTACACGTACTTATTACAAWTACAAAAATGATCGGTGTTTTCCATTCAGCGGTTCGAGCTCAYAATGCTCTCATCTTAAATCTTAATAATTGGCAGATTTTCGTTGAGTTTTCGAAAGTGATGTTGAGGTTTTAAAACTATTTTGTTGACTCGTGGCTATTTTAATATAATTATTAAAGATTTTCAAATATTATTTTACAATATCGTAACTTTTCATGATAAGCTCAAGCGCTTATTTCAATTTGACAGCCAGCTTTCAAAGAAAAATTATTTGACAGTTCGTTGTGTTTTCTGAAAAACATCTCCAAACACTTAATGGAACAAGAACTTTTTATATGTTTTAACGTTAATGTGTGATTTCAGCGACTTTGACACTTTCAAAAACGTATATCGAGAAAATCTTCTCTAAAGCTAGAAAGCCATTCTCGCATTTATGGCCGTGGAACGTAAGAGGTCTATTGAATTTCTCGCTCTTAACAAGCTCTATCTCGACTGAAATCCATCCTTTAGTTATTCATATGCTGATATTATGAATTATGCTGGACGTCAATTGTCAAAATACAGCCACACTTAGTTCGAATTCGCCAGAATTGATATTAGCCACCTGTACAAACTTTATGATAGGCTCAAGGCGCTTTGGCAATTTAGGATGCACCCTATAGACTGACACTCTTAGCTTCCCAAATAAACATGGGATACTTCCTTTTGACAACAAGGAACGGACAGTTTGCCTTAAATAAATACTAAATCTCCTTAAAACTTTTAATTTACTTGCTATTATCTTCAATTGTTATTGACTCTTGTTGATATCGATATTTGTTGTTTAACTTTATTTTCGAAATTTGGCCTTTGATTTGTATTGGTACTTTGATAAATCACATTTCTAAGATTTAGATTTTAGATTTCAATAAACTTGTCGTAAATTTACGAAAGAGTACTCCGATTTCTTCTCTTCTTGATTGACGAAGTTATTTTGTCGCTTTTTGCAAGCCATGTGYTTCTCCACTTTTTCAACGCAGCTAAGGTCAGCCCATTCCAATTTAACTARTCAGCGCAGCTAGCTGCACTCTTCAATCGGAAAGTCCGAAAATGCTGTTGTAACTGTACACTTTTTATCACAATATAATAGCTCATATATATAATACTCTACTAGAATAAAGAGCGCCTCGAGGTGATTTAAAAATTACTGAATCACTAGACTAGACTTTCCGTAAATTATTACCGTATTGAAGCTACAACTATAAGCTGCAGAGATCTGATGACGGCGTTTCTGACAAATGAGTTACTCCATGTAGAGAAAAAGACAATTTCAGATTAATACCTCATAAATTTCAATTTATAGCTAATTATTTATTAAGCGTTCACTTGTATAGAATTTTTTTTTAACAAAAAAACATTATTCAAAAAATTCTTAAAACTGCAATACCTTATCTTTTTGGATCATACTCATTCATTTTTCAGCGCATGAATTTTTTAATTCGAATTTTTTTAAGGGATTACATGGGTTTCCTCTGGCAAAAACAGCCCTTTCCAACAATCTTTTTCTYACACAAAAAATTAAATATTTTATTAGAACATATACTATTAACAAAGAAATTTTTTCCGGTGACCTCTCGGAACAAAGATACGCCCGCGTTGACAGCATATCGCCTTACAGGATCGTCTAGAGTGAAAAAATATGTGTATTCGTTAAAACCGTAACTTAGAACTTGGACGAAAAAAAACTAAAATCTGGATTTCTGGCCGACATAAAAAAAAAAATTCTTTTCTGTGAAAATATCCCGACATGTTTTTTTTTTTTTCAAATAGTTTTATTCGAAAAAAAATCCTTCATCCAAGTCCTTAAGAATTGTGTCTCAACTCAAAGACCTGTGCAAAATTTCATGAAGATCGGTTGAGTATTTCTTGCGAACCTTGCTAACCGACTTCAAAAATACAGYTTCGAGAAGAACGCATTTAAAGACGGCGCACTTAGCTTAGTTAGCCTCGAGCGCACAAGTTCTCAAGGCTGTATCTCTGAAACTATTACTCAGATCAACTTGAAAATTTTCGACAATATTCTAGGGGTGTTGTAGAATTTAATAAGACTTTAATACGATTTTTTGTAACCCGTAAACCCATGTGACACGCTAATATTTCTATCAATATATCAAGTTTTCAACAATCCTGAGTAGGTATAAATGTGGTTAAAGAAACCTTCCTTATCGATCTTTTCCAACAATTCTTAAACAGCACTTTAACTGCCGTCATAACAGCTCAGATTTAATCAGTTATTCATTTCAGTAAAAATGTGTTTTTTTTTTTATTCAAAATATCATTCAAGAACAATACAATACCTTCAACACTCACTTGAGTACACCACTCATGATCCGTAAGTATATGTATACACGATTTCGCGAATTGTTAAGTACTCGTCCAATCCTTGTTGTATCCACAGCTTCAGATGAGTGCAATAAACAGACCAAATGACTTGMTAGTGAGACTAAATATAACTAAACTTAATAATAAAAGTAACTAAATAACAAAAATCATACGTGAGTTAAAAAATAATAATTAAAAATWCAAAAATTAYGACTACAAGAAACTTCAGTGTTCCGTCGATGATTCCGTGATTAATTCCATTTGTTTGTGCGCGCTGCGACTGGCCTTCGTGAACGAAATCGTACGAAATGAAATCTCAGCATCAATAAACAATACTTTCCTAAGTGCAAGCCTAGTGACTATAACGAAAAAACAAAAAAAAAAAAATCGTGTCCGCTCTAAAGAAAATTTGATTACATCGCTGCTTTCGCTTATCCACACAATGTTGACAATGGAGGATGACAACAGCGAAACATGGATGTATTCAAAATAGATTTGGAACAGTCGCATATCCATTCGAGTCTCGTTGAAAGCCACAACAGCACGAATAACAGTAGCCAAACACATAATCTATATACGCCCGGCGGCATAGCCGGTGGCGCCGACAATCGCGAACCGCAACACACCACCCACCAACATCACCACAACCAYAATCACCATAACCTACACCAAATCGAACAACGTCCACAGCAACAACAACTGCWTCACCAACAGCAGCAACAACTTTATAATAGCATAGATGCGAACGGCGACGATTGCGACGATGAAGACGATCCCTTGCCCGAAGTGAGTTTTGATGCCAATTCCGATTTCAATTTGCACTTCTTCGACACGCCCGACGATTCGTCGACGCAGGGCGCYTTCAGTGACGCTGGTTCGCTTGAATCCGATGCTTATGCCACCAGTTCACCACCCACACCACCACCAACAACACAAATACATGCGCTAAGCGGTGCAGAGACCCTAAGTGAGGAGTCCACCGCGGTAACCGCTTCAGCGGCGGCAGCAGCAGCACAATTACACATCGCAGATACGATAAATTCCCATTGCAATWCAACTGCGGAAGTTAGCGAATCGCTGAAATTGCTGACAGATGATTGCACGTCCTTTTATCATCAGCAACAATCAACGGTCACACTAAATGGTGGCACTCCATCTTTAGGTATACCGTCTAATTGCGTCGCTTATTTGGGCTCGACGAACAATAACACTACTACAACAACTGCGCAATCCATCAACGGCGTTGSTATCGCTTGCAATACTGGCAATTCATCGTCATCAACCGCGTCCACACCGGCTTCGTCCGKTTCGTCGTCGTCCACAGCTTCATCCACATCGCCAATAGCAACGAGTAACGGCAGTGTAGCGGCCGCTACAGCCGCACATATCATTGCGCTCGGCAATGGTGGAGGTACATTGTACTCCAACAGCGGTCTCCATTCATTCTGTCAATCGCATTCATCGTCCTCATCCGGCTGCTCTTCAAATTCGTCTGCCGGCAGCAGTTGTAGCCACAACGGCAACACCAACGGCAGTGGACACCACATTGGACGTAGTAACGGAGCCACCATATCATCGTTGGTTGCTGAGCATTGTCTTGGGGAGCGCCATCATACAGCAGCAACAGCAACAGCAGCGTCAGCGTCAGCAACAATCAACCCATCGAACGCGTGCGTCGCAATCACCAACTCTACATTGGCTAATGTAAAACATTCGCATGGTATGTCCTTCAAATATCTTGTTGTTGTTATAAACATGAAAACTGCTGATACAGGGTGTCTCATTAGTGTTAGAGAAAATAAAATTATAGCTTGATCTCTCAGTAGTTATAATTTCTTATAAGAATTAAYAACTTACTAGACGCAAAACATGATTAAGAGTTTAAAATCGATACGTACATATGTGATTAGAGTTCAAGAATATCGGCTTCTATATGCTGTCGGATATTGGCTCTTTTATGGGTATACAATAACGGTTCTTGAGTTGTATAGTTCTCAGATTTCTCAAATTCCTTTAGTTGAGACATACTGAAATTCTAATACTAATTGCCAATATTTAAAGATTGGCAACCCTGATGAAAACACTTTTAAGTTTTACTATAATGGTTAAGAAGATTTAATCAGATCACCTCTCTTTAAAATTTTTATTAAGCTTACTCAAAGCACTTCAGTTTGTCATCTGTATTGCGCAAAATATTATTTCCCAAAAATTTGATTAACATATTTGTGAACAGGTGGCAACTATGGTAATATTTGAAATATTTTAAATTGTAACTTCTTTCTCTATAGCGTTTTCATATCTCCTATATTTCTTAAATTAAATATTTAAAACAGATGGCATCACTTCCGAAAAATTTAGGATAATCCATTTAATTGAGCTACATATACATACATATATGTATGTATATCTCCTGAACATAAGTACCAAAACGTTTTTTCAAGTACATGTTTTCGGTATTCAGTTTTTATTAATCTAATGATGTTTATATTAATTTAAACAGTTGGTAACTCTTTGCAAAACAATCCACTTCATAATTTTTTGACGATTTGTAGTTTTATGCATATGCTGAAATTCTTCTTATATATTTTTTATTGRAAAATGTAATKTATAAAAAGGTGGCAACTCTCTTTAAAAATATTTTCAACTGTAAGTTTTTAATCYTCCTACCTTTGATACTTATTTTGTAGCGGCTTTTTATTTTATAGCTTTCGGACCTATAAATTTCAAATATGTGGCAACCCTTTACAAAAATTTGTAACTGTTAGTTTTTTAATTCTTCTCCGCTTGATTCCCTTTTTTTAGCAACTCCTAATTTTACTGTTCGTTGACTTATAMATTTCAAACATGTGGCAACCCTGTACAAAAAAATTTTCAATAATAAGCTTTTCATCCTCTTCCGTTTGATAGCTGTTTTATAGCGGTTCTTTATCTTATAGCTTTTYTACCTTTAAATTTAAAATATGTGGCAACCCTTAAAAATTGTTTTCAACCGTAACTTTTTTAATTATTTGAAACAGGTGTCTACTTTTCTGTATTATCCTTCTTGTTGKAATGCAGTCAAGTGTTTGCAACGAACAATGAACAAAATATTTTAATTGGTTCATTTCTAAAACTTTCATCCCGAAGAGTGTTTAGCACTTCTAAAGCAGCACATTTGTAACTAATTCATGGACTACTGTTGCTGTTTTTACAGGTTATGGCTTACCGACAACAGTTATGCAAAATTACAACGCGTCGTAATTACTCCAAGTGCGTATCGTTCTGCGCGAATGCTTCAGCCAATTTCCAATCAATTTAATCGTTTTATTTTACACCCTTTTTACAAGCAACTGATTAGTAGCCGCGTTCCTCTCTTGTGTCAATCTTTAATTTGTTTTTAAGTAATATTTTACGCATACATATTTACATATGCACATTGTGTACATATGCTTGTGTTTATTGGTTTTGATTCCRGCTTTATTTGACTTACCAATTGCATAACCAGGAAATCACTTTTCAACTCTCATAAAAGCACGWCGTTCATACAAATACGTACTACATACAGTAGCGGATCAAAAAGAAGATCGCCTCAAAAAATTYGGAAATATTTCTTGCTCCATAGAAAGCAACAAATAATTTAGTATAAGTAGCTATAAAGCTTGTGCTAGGTTGTGTGTATGTGTCACAACTAAACTAAAAAACAACTAAATTTATTTTTCTCCAGATTTTACTAGAGGGAATATCGAGATATTTGTAAAATTTATAATTCCTAAAAGAGCGGCATAGTTATGTTATTACGAATCCCTATCTTCACCATAAATATAYAGGCTGACTGCCGTCATCTTCTATGCATATATTAGATATTAAGACCATTTTGTGCCACCAGTGTTGAAAGTTTACTGAAACTGATTTTTAGGTATGTAAAACGGTGGTTGATTAATTTAGAGCATGGAAACTTTTCGTAAGTTATTATTATAAGAAAAATCGATATATTTGTCAGTAAAGGTCCAAAAATTAAATTCCGAAAAGTATAGTCAACGTTGTGAAGTGTAGAAGACCACCAGACATGATAAAGTCTGAAACTCCTTACCATGATTTGTAGGCCTTGTAACTCTCAGCACTTATTCTTTATCTTATTCTTTATCTATATCTTTTTTATTAAGATCAATCGTTATAGTGAGCTTTGATGACAGAATCGACAGTGTTTTCAAGTTTTAAAGTCAATAATGTTGATTTGTTGCTGTATCGAAGATATATACATATATCTAATAAAGTATCAAGTATGTAGTGATGCTAMAAATGCTGATTTTATTCTGAAAACTTTGCTCTTAACTTTACAAAAATGTCATTATACCCAAACTACTACTGTATTATTACGCTAATTTGAGATCTTGGAAAAAGTCGCTGGAGTCCAGACCAAGAGTATGCAGTGGACGAGAAAACCGATTCAATTGAAATACGGCATACTATTTTATCAACGTTTTCTTTCGTTTGTTTTAATTAAACAGAACAGGAGTCGTCTTTTAACCTAAAGCAATCGCAGCTTTAGATTAGCTATAAACGGATTTTCCCTCGTATGTTAATCATACTCGAAAAAAGTATTGCATACCTATTCCAAATTACATACATTTTTCAATGTTTTACCCATTTATATATAAATGGCGAGCTCGAGCTAGTCATGTTCGTCTGTCTCTCTGTATTTAGCACACGCTCTTTACTCTCAAAAAAAAAAAATGCCAATTTGTCGGAACCATACAAACTGACCCATCAAACTCAAGTCCTCACATGAAAATTGTTTTTCTTTGGCAAGTATTATTGTTCAAGATAATGCTGAATTTTTCGGCCCTCTCTGTGACGTCTTTGTGGCGAATTTAGCGAAAAGATCTTGGCCAATATTCYTACAAGATCAAATTGACGCAAGTACTGAACCCAGAATCGTCGTATGTTTCTGAATTGAGCTGACAACTTGAAAATGATCCGGATTCTCATCGAAAAATCATCCGATCTATGGTCGGAAAAAGGAAGGGGAAAACGGGYTTCAAATAATCACAAAATTTATGTGAAAAATCCAAATAACCAAGTTTTTTKATTTTTATTTTTAACTTCTAAAAATTTTTTTTTCTTTCATGAAATTTAGTGCAAACTTACCTTCGTATGTCCCCAATAGATAATTGTTATTAGCATATTTCCCACCATAATTTTATATAAAAAGTTTACAAATATTAACTCTTTCCAACTACAGTTATTACTCTTGAAATAAAAAAAAAGCGCCATCCCTACAACATTAGACAMCACTGTATATTTTTGTTTGCTCATTACATGCAATATTTACAATAACTGCCCATTTCTCGCTCCAACTCAACGCCCGTCCGCCACGAAATTTGGTCAGGTCAATGACCAAGAGACGCCGGGCAATTTATTAGCATTTCAATTTGCGGAAGCCCCGACAGACATTGGAAAAGTGTGGAAAGTGAAATATGAAAAGCCGAAGAAAATCRCCACGAAATGGCTGGCAAAGTGCAATCGACAACAACGAATCTGCAATCTTCGGCAAAAAGCTTAACAAAATCGACAGAAAGCAAATGGGCGTTTAATTTGTGCATTTTTCGCCAGTCAATTGCACTGACAGTGCGACAGYCGCGTAAACGTTTCCGCTTCCTTTTGCGGAAAACTTATGAACCGTACAAACATATGCCTGCGTGTATATAGTTGGCTTGGTGCGATTGGCGCAGCGTGCAACTTGTTGGCCGTCATGTAGCACGCTGTGGCAGCAGTAGTTGTTGCACATTTGCAACAATTATTCGCATGCATGCTGCAACACTCGATGTTGCTTAGTTGTTGTTGTTTTATTTGTAATGGTGGTTTTCGATTTAGCGTTTGACGTTTAGTTGCCGCTGCGAGCGTTAAACAGCGGTCCACTAATGAACCCATGTTGAATGACAAACATAATCAGCAGSCAGCAAGTTGCATGTTGCATGCTTACTTCTTGTGTCACAAATTAATTTATTTTCATTATACACAGCCGTATATGGTTACYTTTCTTCCTCTTTTGCTGTCGTGCTGTCGTCATATTTTATGCCTGCTTAAATATTATGTTTCCGTGACTTATGTATGCGATGCCCAGTTGGAAATATCAGAAGGTCTTTATAAAAAGAATATAAAAGATTGATACTTTGTTTCATATGTCTTAGTTTCATCGGATTGGAAACCTTCAATAAGAGTCATTAATTCAATAAGTTACTCCTAGAAGATCAATCCGATCAAATTTGACTCAGACCGGTCAACACAAACTGCGTGGGCAAACTGAATTGATAAAAAATGTAAATTAAACAGCGACTTGGTTCTTTCAAACATTTCTTAAGTTTTTTGGGGAGTCTACTTCGTTGCGAACATCAGTATTTGAGTATCACAAAACATTCGTAGAACTTCGCAAAGTCATCGAAAACTTGCATTATGGGAGTTGTCCTTGCCCACCTTTGATATTGATAACATGGGAGAAGTTAAAGTGCTTGAAAATCGCCGATTTTGATATCAGAAAGATAACATAATCACTCTTAAGGATCGTCAACGTGTCACTGCTAGAATCGCACCAAACGACCGCACTGTTGTAAAAGAGCGATGTCAAGTAGAGGTCAAAAATAGAGACTTGACAACCTAGCTGAGAACCCTTCATTCGTCAAATACATAATTATTTATTTACAAAAGAAAAMATTTAATATCGTGCAGTGATAAAATTCTTAT